AATATAGACATGATTACAAAGGTAAAGACAAAACTAAATGTACAAACGTAAAAGTGAAAGATTGTGAAATTTTATGAGAGAAAGTGCAAGCCAAATAATCAATAAGAGAACTCTTTAAAACCTATGTTTGAAAAAGTATTTTTTTTTTGTTACGATAATTTATTTATAGCCGTTAGTTTTTATTTAATATTACATGTTTTTAATATAATTTTATAGTTTAAAATTATATCTTATCAATGTTTGATATTTTTATATTCTATCATATATTTCTGCTATAACTTATTAACTAGAAATAGAATTCTCTTAATCTAGAAATAAGAAAAAAAAATGAAAAGAAAAGAAAAACAAATGGAAAGAAGATGATATGAAAATTAATGGGATATCACAATCAAAGGAACATGGAGAGGGTCCACCACCACCGTTGGATTTAAATGCCCCACCCAATCCAATCCCTCCATTAATTTTGGTTTGCCTTTAATTAGAAGAGTCAGCATTTGACTCTCTGACCAGACCACAGACCCAGCAGACCCTCCAGATCCTGACAATCACTTTGACTCTCTGATTTTTCCATTAAATGTTTCTCCAAAGACTTTTATTCACACCAAAAAAAAAAAAAAGAAAGCTTCCTTTCCATTCTCTTCTTGTTGTGTAGCTAAAAAGTACCTCTGTCTCTGCTGTTTTTGTCTCTCTTTTAAGTTTTATCTCATTTTGGTCCCTTCTTTTTCTCTCCATTTTCAACGCTCAGAAACATAACAATGATCAATCAGTTAGGCTGAGGTAAAGAGGCAGATTTCTCGTGAGCTTTTCTCACACAGTTACACTTACTGTCAGAAGTGGACATTCACTACAGCTAAACACACACTTTTTGTTTTTGTCCCTTGGTAACTTTACTTTGATACATGTTTTTAAAGGGTTTCGTTTATTTAACCAATTTGAGTTTTATTACAGTAAAAAATTCTTAAAAACAGTCACATTTAATTTTTTTATTATAGTAAAATATTCTCACGTAAAGTTATATCTGAACTCAAGTTGAAAACACGAATCAACGAAATCTTTAACTGTGGTTAGCCTTTTTTACATCCATGGATGTCATCTAAACTTCTTGCATGTTGTAAGAACTAAAAATCTTAACAATTTGACTCCTCAAATTTCAGGTCCAATCGAAAATGTGGTTAACCTTTTTACTGTTTTCTTGCATGTGATTCGCAAGTGACCCCTATTTATGACAACTTGAGTCCTTTTTTTGATTGAAACGGACCCTTTTATGAACAAAACTTGTTCACTTGCATTTCTGGTTAAACCTGGATTCACCATTGAAGAGAATTTGGTTCATTTTAAGGTCTAATTCGAGCAAAAAAAAAAAAAAAAAAAAGAACAAGAATGCCCTCAATAAAAGATCACGTGTGAATCACAAACAATAAAAGGTTGTTTAGTTGGGGGATTCGTACCCCGATTTGAATCATAATTTATAGTTCATTATAGTATTTTTTCTCATAAAAAATACACGTAAATTAAAAATGATTTTAATCTATGAACTAAACGTCTCCTAAAATCGTCAATGACGTTGGATGGGTAGTTACCAAACTTTTTAAGTTCATGAACTGATTTGTGAAATACGAAAAGTTCAGAAACATCAATACAAAGAAGCCTTAAAATAAACAAGTACGCATAAATTATGAAATAGAACCCCATATAAATCTGACAGTCTAAAACAACTCTGTCAATGCAGTATTTTCTCCACGTGACATGCACGTGCAATTTCTCTGAATGGACATTATGGTGGGTACCACAAATGTCTGTATCTTGTACATACATAAATACCAACTTCTATAGCTTCCAACAAATGCTGAGCTATTAGCGGTGATGGTAGTTCCGTTTCTTAAATTATTATGGGCCTGTCATATTACTCAATTTGTCCATCTAGAATTTAATGATTTTCTGCTGACACAATTCTTACAAAAGACTGAAAAAGAATGGAGCAGATTTGATGATACTTGCTACTCTTTTTATTAAAAAAAAAAAAACAAAAACAAAAACAAAATTGTAGTCAGCACAGAATGAAAAGAATAAAGTATCCAACTGTTTGAAATTGATCCTGTTTTTATTTTTTTACGTTTTTTGAGAAAAAAAAGTTTTTGAAATGTCGTTCGGCACAATAAAGATAAAAAATAAAAATAAAAATAATTTTTTAGTTCAGTGTAAAATGAGAGAGAAGTGAAAAACGATTTTTAGTCGTTTTTTTATTTTTTGTTTTCGTTTTCTTCTCTCTTGAGTAGAGAGAGAGAAAGAGAGACATTAATGAGTTTTTTTACATTGAAAATAATCTCTTAATAAAATTATTAAACGCATTTTTAAAAATAATTTATGTCTGAGATTGAAAACGTTTTTATTTTCATTTTCATATAAAAAATAAAATTATTTTGAAATGAATTACAAACGTGTCCAAAATCTCTAAATTCTTGTAGTAGGATATGAAAAAGTATTTTAACAAAACATAGTTTATAATCGTCAAATCTCCATCAAATTCTATTAAATTATCATTTTTTTAAGTTGATATACATCTAACAGTTTAAGAATTTATTCTATTAATAAAAATTATTTTTTTGTCCTAAAGTCATACCACCATTTTATTCTCCTTAATATTGTCATTAATTCATTTTAATTCTTAACTTCGATATGACAATTGACAGTTAATAGAAAGGTTTTTAACACTGTCAATCTCTAAACTATTAGTAATGTGATGACTTTGGCTCCTAAACTTTTCTATTTTGGCCGGTTAGTCTTTAATTTTGTTTGTTTAGGCTGGCTAGTTCCTAAATTAATGTTTATTGACAATTTTAGTCATCTAGACCCTAATATTGGCAATCGGCTTTTGCAAATATAATGAAGCTAATTACATGCTTATCAACTATATTTTAATTTGAAATTTTATTAAAGTAGCCACCGTGAGGTGCACATTTTTTGCTTTACTATGCAAAACTTTAAATTATTTAGTGATGGACACGTAATTACTTCTGTTAATTTTCAAATTACATAGTGATGGACACGTAATTACTTTTGTTAATTTTAAAATCCCATGATCAGTTGAATGGTTTATAGACCAAAATTACCAACAAAAATAAATTAGAAAACGAATCCACCTAAAAATGGTTTATGGATCATATATTCAAATTATGGGTCCGTTTAGTTCGCTGATTCGAGTTTGTAAATCGAGTTGAGATGTGATTTTATGTGAGAGCTTTTTATTGTAGTAAAAAAGTTAAATGTGATTGTTTATGAGAACTTTTTACTGTAGTAAAACTCAAATTCAAAAACTTAACATTAGTTTTCATTTACTAGAGAACTAGTGAAAGTAAAGTGCATTTTCGTCCTCAATATGACTAACTTTAATCTTAAAAAAAAAAGTGCATTTTTGAGTAAAGCCCATGAGTAACGAAAATGCACTTTAACTAGCTTCTTTTTTATTTTTTATAATTAAAATGCGTAAAGCCCATGAGCAAATCGACCACAAAGTCCTTCACGAGGAGGTGCTTAACACTAGTTGGTAACGTTTACATTCTTCTTTTCTCTTCTTTGAAACCAAAACGAAAATATAACTAACTATTCTGCTCGGCTGTCCATTCCTCCCTTGTGACTTTGATACCTTTCAATGGGCCACATTGGGCTAGGCCTTTATTTTGTAAATTAGGCCCAATATCATTTATGTAAGGGAGATGAGGGAAAGAAAAATCAGATTTGAGATTAATTAAAGGGAAATAGTAAAAAATAGACCAATATAAAAAGTTTAAGAAAGTATATAGGCTAATTTTTAATTATAGAAATTAATAGGCTATAACTTGTTAAGTTATGGTTCATAACCAAATAAGTTATGGACAAACTTGTCAAGTTATGGTTCATAGCCAGACAAGTTATGGACAAAAATCGTGAATAACTTGTCAAGTTATGGTTCATAACCAAGCAAGTTATGGATGAAAACAGTAATTTAGCCTATTTATTAACTTATGTAAATTATTAGCCTATTAATTTTAATTCATCTCAAGTCTTGGCCTATTTCCCTCTTTCTCCCTTAATTAAAATTAACAAGCTAATGTTTAAGAAAAGTTAATAAATAAGCTAATGTGTTATAAATCTAGATTTAAAACCAGATGAAAAATTCCAAAAATACCTCTTGGTATTATTGTTTATATATGAGATTTACCATTAAAATTTTCACTTTTTTCCTACTAATATAAACTTAGTAAATTCAAAATTTACCATTAGAATTTGTAATGTTACTTTCCCTACTAAATGAAAAATTCCAAAAATACCTCTTGGTATTATTGTTTATATATGAGATTTACCATTAAATTTTTCACTTTTTTCCTACTAATATAAACTTAGTAAATCTTGAATTTATCAGGTATATCTGAGATTTACCATTAGATTTTCACTCTTTCCGCATTAATACGACTTGATATATCATAGATTTACCAAGTATATCTAGAATTTAACATTAGAATTTGTACATTTTTTCTCTAGTAATATGAACTTGATAAATCTTGAATTTACTATTAGAATTTATACTTTCTTTTTTAAGTGATTCTGACTTAATAAATCCTGAATATACCTGGATTTACTAAAGAAAGGAGGAAAAAATAACAAGAAAAGGATAACATTAGAAAATTTAAAATTAAAAACATGAAATAATCTATTAATTTCTATAGATTGGTAAATTGACTATTTACTTCCATAAGTTTTAAATTTTACCCCAACATTTTGGTGCCAAAAGAGTCTTGTATGATTAACACCCTCAAGCTCTCATCAGTATTCTAACCTTCTTTTCTTAATCGGTCAATTATTCGACATAGCAGGCGAGCATGATTCAAGTGCGAATCATTGAAAAAAATAGAATAAATCATCAATATGAAGAGAAGATGGACAATCAAGATGAGCCAACAATGGAAGAAGCCAAAAAAAAAAAAAAAAAAAAAAAAAATCCTTACAAAATGAACAAAGCGCATCCATATACAAATACATGTGTGACAAGTGAGTTGTCATCATTTTATTGACAACTGTTGTTAAACTTGTGTACAGAAAATTTATCTAACAATTAAATGACATCAATTTACTTGTCACATTAGTTGGTCTTAAACATTGTTAGCGGCTTTTGGCGTTGTGAAGGTTTATTATTGTTCAAGAAATTTACAAAGAATGTGATTCACAAACGCTTAAAATATGTCATTTCAGATGGCACAAATCCGAAAGCTCTTCTAAGGGAAGCAGCTGAGTTAGATGATTGGCAAATTGATTGCATAAAAATCGTATCCATTATAATGGAAGCACTTTGTCTGTGCTCCAGTGGATTAGCATCTGATACCTTTTCTTGTATGGTAAGATCCCGTGCAAGGTATAGCAGAAGACTCGGCGTCGAGTTGAACTCGATAAAACTTACTTTTTCTCGGCCTCGGACAGCTTCTTTCTCAGATCCTTGAGAGCATCTACTACTTCTGAATCGAGATTGTGCTTCAACAATCTACCTTGAAAAGAATTAGATCTGAAATGGTAAAAAGTGTAAACCATATATCAGTTTCAGTTGGCAACATTGTGAAATTCACTTCTCTCCGTGTAAAGGATTTTTAAAAGCTTCGGCACGCATAGAAAAAGAACCTAAAGATACTCAATGTGGATTTTGTATTTAAAAGACATTACAATTATATTTCTTTTAGTGACAAAACATGATAAACATGCATTTTATGGTCATTTGAAATAGATGGCTATTATCAGCCAAATCATTTCGGTGCATATCCAGTTTGCCAAGTCCAGGCTTTACAAGGGAAGAGATGAGATAGTATAAAGATACTTTTAAGTATTTTCTCAAAAAAAAAAAAAAAAAAAAAAAAAAAAAAAAAAAAAACCCGGGGGGGGAAAACAAAACCT